GTGGGAGATCCTGATCTGAATCAGGTTGAGCAGGGAATCAGATCTGGGTCTGCAGCATCCAGATAAGTACCCTAAGCAGTGGTCTATTGGTTATTCTGGGATTCTGTTACTCGCTGTGGTTTTTCCATTAAAAATCGTGGAATGGTCTCAATTTTGTCCCAGTTCAGAATGGGAAAAATTGAAATTTTAAATGTCATAAAACAGGAAAACCATTTCCTGGACAGCTTATTACCCAATCTCTAGCCCCAGGCCTTACTCACTACGTACTAAGTCCACTGACAATCTCAGCAAATAGGACAACCATTGTATTGTAAGAGAAGCTTGCACTCTTTCTGCTTGTGTTGTACCTGTGCTGTAGTTAAATTAAGACCTTCAAATTCCAGAAGTGTTATTTCAGACCCTTTAACCAACACCGAATTATGTTTAAATAAGAAAATAATTTAAATATTCAAATACTATAACTATATATAGTCAATATCCCCCTACTTATTGGATTAGTGCAAGATAGCCAAATTCCCTGTGGTTGCTCTGGAGTGCAAGGCCATTTACAAATAAATGAATGTACAAGATTGCTCCACTGTAGGTACATTGTGTCAGAGGGTAGCAGTCTTGAGGGATGTCGGATACTTCAACTAAACTGAACAGTTCTGACTTTTGAAATGCCAATGAGACTGATCTCTTAGCTGGTAGAATCCAGTTTCAATCATTATGTATTTTACTTGTAATGTATCCTTGTTTTATATGTGATTTAGAGGGGAAAATATATTTTTCTTTACAAAGAAGCATTAAACAGAAACTGTGAAAGTAGAACAACCCAAATGTATTACTGTAGAGTACAAAGACGTTAACAGAGTTGTTTATAGAGGTTTTAACTATTGATGGTAAGAAGAGTTTTCTCCATTTTCTATTTCTCAGAAATTTAGTTGTACTGTAAAAAAAAAAAAAAAAAAAAAGAGCTGCGTTTTGCTTAAACTGTACAGTTGATAATTAGGACGGGGTAATGCAAAAATTTTAGGCCTCCCATGATATGTTCCCTGTCTTGAAACAGATGTTAACAATATATTAAATTATAATAGGTGGAGCTGGTATCTCTGCCTGCTTATTAAGGTTGCCTAACAGTGCCCATTATGAAACCCTGTTTTCAGTTGCTTATAATTATTGCCAATCTTTAACTATTGGGCTGAAATCTTTTTCTTTTTCTTTTCTTTGGTGATGGGGAGGTGACAAAAAGTATAAAACTTCAGCCAAAATGGATGGCTGTTTCCAGGATTGGTGCTAGAGGAAAACTCATTGTTTTGTCCATGTTAACAATGTAAATGACTTCTTCTGTTAAAGATCTGGCACCCCCTTAACTCAGCAGAGAGACTTTAACTAGGGCTTTATATCAGTGATGCACTTTTTGTCATCTGCCTAGATCTGTCGAGCTAAAAGCCTTTGAAAAACATGCACATGTTCAGTGGAGACTTCTTTGATTGTTAGCAGCCCAGGGTATGTCTACACAGCAAAATAAAGATCTGTGGCAGCAGGACTCAGAATCCATGTCAACTGACTTTGGTCTTCAGACCTTGCATGCCAGGACTAGAAATAGCAATGCAGACATTCAGGCTTGGGTTGGGAGCCTAAGCTCTGAAAACCAGGAAACCGTAAGGGTCTCAGAACCCAGGTGCCAGTCCAGGCTCAAACGTCTACACTACTATTCTGATATCCATAGACTTGAGTCAATTGACCCAGGCTCTGAGACTCGCTGCTTCAGGGTTTATGTTAGTGATGGTGGTTTTGGAAGATGTTTGCTGTGCAGAGCAGACACACCCTGAAATCTTTAAGATTCCATTATCTCTGAACATGTATAAGCCTCTCTCGTCTCCTAGTGCTGACGGGAACCTGCGTGTACCATCTCTACAGAGTAACTGAGTGTGCTTTCTCCAGGCCAGAATGACAAGTTTGAGAGTGGATTTTCCCTGTAATGGTTTCTGTTGGCTGCTGTGGGTTAGGATGAGTCTGGACACCAGAACTGAGAACCTGAAGTGTGTCTCTCCTGTGCTCCCAGTGAACCCCTTTCCCCCTCCCCGCTGGCACTATGACAGTATAATGGAGGGAGTTGTCTCATTCAGATGCAGAAAGGACAAAGGCTGGACCCGGTGGAAGAGAGAGGATTAGATGGGGACAAGTTGCTTGTTGATGCTGAGGGGAGCCAAGAGGGAAGCTGGGATTGGAATCTGTTAAAGAGATGGGGACTGTCTGGCAAAGAGCCTCAGACAAGGAACCAGTGGGCATATGTGGGGGTGGGAGAGAAACATATCTGACAAGGAGTTAGGGTATAGGAGAGAGGACCAGTACTGGAAAGGCAAAAGAGACTGGTTGGTCGGAAGGATTTTGCCATGCATAGAAATCCCCATGAAACAATTCCCCTTTATTAAGTTGCCCCAGCAGCGGCTCTAGTAATTGTGAGTTCTGTCATAGAATCTTAGGCCCTTGAGGGGTCATCTAATGCAATCCCCTGCACACTCATGGCTGGACTGAGTATTATCTAGTATTATCATCCCTGACTGGTATTTGTCTAAACTACTCTTAAATATCTCCAGTGATGGAGATACTGCAACCTCCCTGGGCAATTTATTCCAGTGTTTAACCAACCTAAACCTTTCTTGCTACAGTTGAAGCCCATTGCTTCTTGTTTTATCCAGATATTAAGAATAATTTACCTCCCTCCTCTATGTAGCAATCTTTTATGTACTAGAAAAATATGAACATGTCCCCTCTCAGTCTTCTCTTTTCCCAACTAAGCAAACCCAATTATTTCAATACTCCCTCATACATCATGTTTTCTAGATCTTTAATCATTTTTGTTGCTCTCTTCTGGACTTTCCAATTTTGCCGCATCTTTCTGGAAACATGGCACCCAGAAATGGACACAGTCTTCCAATTGAGGCCTAATCAGCAAGGAGTAGAGTTGAAGAATTACTTCTTGTGTCTTGCTTGCAACACTCCTGTTAATACATCCCAGAATAATTGCTTTCTTTGCGACAGTGTCACACTGTTGACTCATATTTAGTTTGTGATCCACTATGATCACCTTTAAACAGTACTTTTTCCTAAGCATTTATTTCTCATTTTGTATGTAATTGATTGTTCCTTCCTACATATAGTGTTTTGCATTTGCCCTTATGGAATTTCATTCTATTTATCCCAGATCAGTTCTCAAGTTTGTCTAGGTTGTTTTGAATGTTAAGCTGTCCTCCAGAGCACTTGTGACCCCTACCAGCTTGGAATCTGCCACACTCTTTGTAAGTGTACTCTCTCTGTCATTATCTAAATCATTGATGAAAATATTGAATAGAACCACACCCAAAACTGAAACCTGTGAGTCCTCACTCGTGAGTCCTCACTTCCAGCTTCATGGCGAACCATTGATAATTGTATTCTGGGAATAGATTTCTGACCAGTTATACATCCACCTCATAGTAGCTCCATCTAAATTGTATTTCCATAGTTTGTTTAAAAGGTTATGCAAGAGCATATCAAAAGCCTTACTAAAGTTAAGCTATACCATATCTACCATTTCCCCCAATCACAAGGTCTGATACCCTATCAAAGAAAGTTATCTGGTTTGTTTGACACAACTTGTTTTTGACAAATCTATGCTGAGCAATCTTTAGCCCCTTATTATCTTCTAGATATTTGCAAATGGATTCTTTAATTATTTGCTCCATTATGTTTCTGGGCACAGAAGTTAAGTTGTCATCAGGGAGAATATGTCATGATGTCACAAAGTAAGCCAGCCTCCATTAACACTTTGTTTAAAACAGGAAAACAAATTGATAGATCCTCTGAGTATGTATGGTAACTTTTATATTGTTTGTAACTTTATGCAGTCACATAGGAGCCCTAATGCAGGGAAATAACATTAAGCCCCTGCAGCAAGTAGCCCCCTCCCATTCCTTAACTAAATAATTTGAAGTAACCTTAGGGTTTCCAGTAAAATGTTATTTGGCTTTGTAAGATCCACCTCTATTAGACTACTAGCATTTCTTGGTCTTATATGTAGTTATATTACCAGAGGCAGTATCCTAGGAGATGCAAATTCTTGTTTTTCAGTTTGAAAAGCATTTTTTCAGTGGTAGGGCATCCCAGATTTCACTGCAGAACATCTTGAGACTATCCCAAAAGAGCAATTATAGCAAAATAAATGTTACAAACTGTCAAGGAATGGCAAGTTCTTGGAGGTTAGTGAAACAATAACAATTTATAAGTCCAGTAATATTTCATTGTGGCTCTCATTTTTTCCTATATAAGAAGCAGCCCACCGTGCTAATTTATCCCCTTCCCAGCTTCCCTGGTTTCTCTGCACATTCATAAACATACACAGAGATCATCAAGGTAGCTCAGAGACTATTGGGCCAATAAGTCTGACACAAACTTTTCTAAAGCATACCACTTGCTGTAATAACCATCAACTTGTTAGCCTGACTCTTCAGTTCTTTACTCTTAATTCCTCATCCACTACAGAAATCTCTCTCTGTAGTGTAGATGGATAAGCCTGACTCTTCAGTTCTTTACTCTTAATTCCTCATCCACTACAGAAATCTCTCTCTCTAGTGTAGATGGATAAGTCATTAGGCTTCTAATCTGAATTGGCCCGACCCTGCAAGGTGCTGGATATCTCAAGCTGTATGCTGAGTAATCTCATCTGTCAGTAAAGTCAATGAGGAGATGTGTTTGATGCTTCACTTCTTATACACTATTGACCTTATTCTGTACCCTCAGGTTGTTCATCCACTTAGTTGACTTGAAACAGAGCACTGGAACTAAATATGTTCTAAGTGATTTTTAACTAAAAGCTAATGTGAAAATGTTGGAGCTTAAACCAATGTAAACATATTAAATTTAAGACTATTTTCAAATGTAGTAAAGAAAAAAAATCAGTGTTCTTTCCCCTGAAATTCCTAAAGGATACATTTCTCCTTCTGACTCATGATTTCATTAGATTATATTTTATTAAACATTCTTTACAAATTTTAAAATATTGCTATTTTACATGCACAGAGGAAAATATGAACAATTGTTCAAAGGCATTCATTTAATATCAACCACAAAACAGGAACACTTTTTATTATGACAGTTATTAATGTACTTGATATGTATAGCTAAAGTGCATTATGTTACAATATATATATATGTATAGAAAATCAGCAGCACCAAGATATTTTCATAAAATAAATACACCATTCAACAAAATAAATTATAGAAAATGTGACAATAATTGGCTTAGCAAAAAAAAAAAAAAAAATCAATCACAATAGCCAAATGTGCAGTTTCAGAGAGCAATAGGGGAGAGAAAGTTTTATTGCATTTACAATATTTACACATAATAAATATTTCTAATACTTTCCATATGTTCACTATTACAGAATACTGCAATATGTTTTCCAAAGAACTCAACTGAAATTTCAACACCTCCTGCAAAGAAAGAGAGGGGAGGGGAACACAAAGAGGAAAAAAATTAATTTTCCCTGAAAATAGATGGACACAAGATTAATGGTAACAGTTCCACAACTAATATAGGGTGTGCCTTGCTTTTAAATAGTCCCTCTTGTAAGAGCAGATGAATAACATTGAGCTATTAGGAGTCTTCTTTTAAGTCTTCTTGTGATGCAATTAAACTGATGATGTAAGGAACTGCATGCTGCTTTTAGGTGTCTGAGTCTGTATTATTTGCAGCTGTCTACTCACAGAAGTAGGGTAGAAGTTCAGCTTCACTTAGGCCCTGATTCAGCAAGGTACTTAAGCACAATTATGAATCACTGCCACTCAGGTCAATAAGGCTACTTATTATCTTAAATTTAGGCCCAGTTTTTAAGTAGTTTGCTGAACTGGGGATATGCTCAGTTCAGAGAACAGATTACTACTACTACCACCACCACCACCACCCAAAAAACCCCCACATAAAACCAGCTGGAGAAATGAGAAATGTGGGCACTAAGGCCAAAAAGAACAATCAATCCCAACTGGCAGTTAATGTGCCCATTATACTGGTTGAGCTTTACTTTCTATACTGTCTGTTTTGATGCCCTGTTTTACTATTATCAGACTGTTATCATTTTGTCTGTCTTTGGCATCAATGGTGAACTATGAGCAGGAATTATTCAATTATGAGGTATGTATTTACAAAACATGAATTTTACTTTAGTGTATAATGTGTTCATGTCCTGATTCTGAAGAGATACTCGCTTCATCCACAGCTGAAATCAATGAAATTGGGTATTGAATTAAAGCTTTGAGAAAATTTAAACTGCATCTTCTTGAGCCCATGAAGAGTCCAAAGGCCTGATCCTGTGTTGAGCATTTCCTTTCAGCTTGTACCCAAGTCAGTGGGAACTTGAAGGCATTCAGCACCTTTCCGGATCAAGCCTTAAGGTTGGAAACTACTCTTTTGTACTTAATAGGTGCCACTGACAGACTGGTTTTCATTCTGCAGTCCTCCCCCCACCACAGTGAATTCAAGAGGCTACAAGCAGGAATCTCCTGCCACCCATTCTGTATATTATTTGTATCATGTTTTGTTTTTTCCAATATTGATATTTTTCTAACAGTGGAAATGCTGCACAGTTGCAGTGTTTTTCCTCTCACTGTGTGCAGTCCATGTCTGTAATTGTATGTTGGTTCCCTAGGAAACAACTATAGGACGGAATTTGATTGGCTGTGTTGTCAGACTGATTGCCAAAGTTGTGGGTAGAGTTTCACATGGCAGACTTGTGTGGGTGTGAGACACGCACAAAAAAGAGGAAATTCTTGAGAATTTAAGGGGGTTTTATATGCGTAATGAAAGCAAGACCACATCTAATATTAGGGAGGTTACACTTTTGAAAAGTTCCTTAGGAAATGAGGTACTAATAATTTAATTTATTTTATTTGGAATAGGAATTTTGTTGGAAGTGTTGTAAGAAGGAGTTTGTAAAAGTAACTGGAATGGAAGTTTTAGCATGCATCCATTTGCATTATATGTAAACTATAATATTGATATGATTGTATACTACTCACACAAATTGATTATGTGTGTGTGTGTGTGTGTATGCTATAGATGTATACTTTTTAAATGGATTGTGGTTTGGTTCTGGATTTAAATTTTAGCCTTCCATTTGGAGACTGCGTTGAACCACCGGTTAGGTATGGGTTTCATGATACCCAAATCTTACAAAATGCTCTCTTGTGTTTTCTGACCTCAAATGTCAACAATACAGCAAAATCAACCAATTTTGCAAGACTGTTTTCATATTGGACCACGTTCTTCACAGAACGAGAGAGCAGGTATCTTCAGGTTTTGTTTTGACCTGGATCCAAAATTGGGATAAAGACTGACTACAGAGAATCAGGACCAGCTCCACAAGTACAAGCTGCAGTCATACCTTCTTTCTGCAGCAGCACTGAGTTAGTCACATAAAAACTGTCAAATCAGCTCTTTGCAGCTGGAGGATTACCCTTATACAGGAGTGATTGCCCTAGAACAAGCTAAACTGAGTTTACAAATAAATTATGCCAGCATTGCAGTACAAAGTGATTCTAGATCACGAAGGATCTGGCCTTGCTGTTGACAATTTGTAGGGAGAGTCTGGAATTGGATTGGAGAAGCTAGTTCATACACAGAACTTGCATATGTTTGTAAAAAATTACTTGAGTTATTGAGTAAAAATGATGATGAATTATGTCATTTCCTGAATTTAATATGATTAAACAAAAGGTTTCAGATTTCCAGTTGACAGCTGTTTTGATTTAAGGTGTAGAAATATACCATCTCTCAGTTCAGTTGGGTAATTATAGGTAAAAAGTATGTACTCTACCAGATTCTCAGATACCAGAACTGCTGTGTTCTCTGTAAGGAAGGAATTGCAAACTCCTGTTTTATAACTTTCATTTTAAAAGTTAGTTTTGTATAATTAAGTATCTCAAGTATTCTATCCCTTCAAGACTCTATTCCCCAGCTGTACTAACATTGCAATAAGGATGATAATGCCAAGAGGCTAAGGCCAAATCTGTAGCATACTGCAAAGCTGAGCTTCTTTTAGGCATACAAGGACATGAGAAATGTAAAACTTAAACCAGTAAAATCTGTAGCGTAGTCTTTGTATTTCATTTACAGATCCCATCAGAAATGAGTGGTATTAAAATAAAATCAAGCTATCAAATGTTTTTGGGGAGTTTTATCCCCATTACTTTAGTTTCTGCACAAGGGCCCACTTTGGCAATTGGAACTATTCTTCAGCTATCCTAGCTCTGTAACATTTAGATGCATCAAACATCTGATTATATATGCCCTGGAACAGGACTTTTAAAGTGGTTTCTGAACTGCTGCAGAGTGTGATGATTCCTAGTATGGTAGATTGATGCTAGATCAGCCTGAGCGAGTATGCTAAAAACAGTATTGTGGACATAACAGTTCTGGCAGAGACTCAAACTAGCTACCCAAGCGTGGAGAAGGAATGGGCTATTGCTAGCCTCTTAGGCTAGCTGCTGGAGTTTTAGTTGCTGCTTTTGTCGCTGCAGCCATGCCGCTATTTTTAGTACACCAGCTCATACAGAACTAGAACCAGTCTCTGCTCTCACTGGGAATCACACTTCTTAGCTACAGTGTAGCTGTACTCTCAGTAATGATCAAAAGCAGTGCCAGTTACACCACTCCTTCTTATTAAAGTTCTGCTAACTATGCATAGACTTGTCGTTAAGTCTATGGCCCAATTCTAGATTTCTTACTGTGTTATAGATAAGGCCTGGTGCTGACTCCCAGGAACTGCCCTTACCTCAATTGGGTATTAAAGACATGAGGCGCCTAGCAGAGCTGGTTCAGAAAAACTAAGGTGCAGCATTTTAATAAAACCCGTGGTTCATGGCGTCTCTTTTCAAATAATTTACTGGGAAGCAAATTACGCTTTTGTTTTCATAGAGCCAAAGTGAAGGGGAAGAGGTGAAGGGAGAAGAGTGTTATGGTTTTTTTTTAATTATTTTGGGAATTGAAAGTTTCTGTTTGCACTCTGTACACAACACTGTTCAATCTCAAGTCCAGACATGAGATTTGTGCAAGCGAATGAGTAGCACGGGGCACCTACAAAAGAGACTCCAACTCATGACTGCCCTTAAAAACCTTCCTTGTCACACACGAGGAAAACACATCTCTCCAAGAGTAATGCTCAACATTTTTCAGCAGCAACGTAATTGTTTCACAAGCTGGCAGAAAATGGAGCTGAATTAAAAAGTCCTAATGGCAGGGAAAATGTTATGTCAAAAGGCTGGTCTGTGCTGTTTGCAGATATTAGTAAAAGACAAACTTTCCGTGTTCTCCCCTAAGGTTAAACAGTAAAATGAAAAACTGTTAAGTAAGGGTAGGAAAGCTGCCAAGGAGCGAGGGGAAAAAGAAAACCTCTCCATTTTATAGATTCAAGCTTTAAGTAGTGTTCAAAGCTTTCAGTCTGCTGAGACCCAAATGTGAGACAAAGATTTGAAATAGGGATCCTGAAATAAAAGCAGTGCAGGGAATTTTAATAGATGCAAGGTTCATTCCTTTGGCATAAATAACACTATAATCTCAGTTTTACAAATCTGTGATAAGCAATTTACCATAATTACTACTCACAGAGAGTGAGTTGCCCCATTCTAGAGAAGAGTACTGGGAATCATGAGATGTGCGTTCTAGTTCCTGCACTGCTAGTGAATCACTGTAGGAGTCATGGGCAAGTTGCTTCATTTCTGTGCCTCAGTTTCCCCAGCTATAAAATGGGAATAACACTTACCTTTGTAAAGTGCTTTGTGGTTGCACAATATTTTGAAATGTGCTACAAATGTATTACTACTATAACATTGCAGATTTGTGTGAGGCAGAGGTAAAATCTAACAATTCCAATAAATATATAGAATATATGGTATGTTCCCGGAAAGGATAAAGCATGATTACCTTAAATTGTGATCTTGTGTAGTACCAGAGAAGCTCAAAAGTGGGATCCTCTAGAATTTGGCCATGCTGAGCGAACTCGTCTCTTTTTCTTTTCTTGTTCCTTGCGTTTTCCAGGCTTTGGTTTCTTTTTCTTTCCTGGTGTCTTCAGGGGCTGCTCTTTGTATGTCTGAGCTTTGTTTGTCTCCTGAGTTAGGTATTTGCCCTCATCTTCATTGCCAAATCGGACAGGGTAGTTCTTTGTGTTAGTCGGAGGCTTAGGATTTGGAGAAACTTCTGAAGTAGCTCGGATCTCCGCTGTGTTAACACCTTCAATGAGATTTTGAAGGAAGATCCTCCTTCGTAGATCTTGGATAGACTTCCCTTTGTCATGCAATAGCTGATGCTCTGATACAGCTCTTTTGCTAAAAGAAAAAAGAGTAGAGAGAAAAGGATATTTTCATTATCAGCAAGAACTTGGAAAAACTCATCTCTCCTGGGGGCAGCCGTAGCCACAGTGAGCCATGAACCAACTTTCCAGCTCTTAGTGTACCTGGCTAAGTCAGTGTTGGAGCAATTGCTTGTCAGAATAGCTACTCCTTGCAGAGAAGGAAAGAACCTAAGCCAATAATAATTCTCTGTGGACCCGTCACATACTACTGGACCTATGGGTGGAATAGTCAATGCTCTGTTCTAGGAAAGCATTTCCTAATGGTACGGAGCATTCTATTTAGGTACTAAAACACAGAAGGCAGTTGCCAAACTTGGGAAAAGTAAGGAACTTGATAACAGAGTACTGCAGTCATGTAAGAAAGGGAATAATAAACACATTCAGTGAAACCTGAAACTTTTTATGCAACATCATTTTTAATAACTTTCTTCTGTCCCATTATATGCTTTTAAAAGTGCACCTTACTTTTAACTTTCAATAAGTATAATTGCTGGTATTTTCTTTGTAAATTTTTTTTTCAAATTTAGACATCTAAACAAGGAGCTTGACATTCAGAAATAGCACCTAGCAAATCGCATTGACTTCATCCAATAGTTAATATGGATTTAAGTGGGTTTAGGAACCCAATTTTGACATGTTCTGCGCACTGTACCAGTCCACTTGTGTGGTTCCTCTCACCTTTTTCTCTGCATCTCTTTTCCTTAGGATTTTTCCCTGACATTCTTCTTTTTCCCTTTTATTGCTCATTGCAACTCTGGTATTTTGGTTCATTGGAACTCTTAACCTCTCTCTGGTTTTAAGGAGTTGGAAGATGATTTAACTGGAAGCCTTGGCCACAGTTCATACTTGGATATCAAGTTATGGTCGTTGGACACCTTTGAGAAAGGATGGTCCAAGAGCAGCCTGGTCAATGAATGCAATGAGAAAATATTTTCCCCTTTGTGCAAGGTAGATATGCGGCTGTGCTGTGACCCTCAAATGCATCTGAAGAGGGAGTAGTGTTATGTTCCCAATACTGCTAAAACCCATAGTCCTTCCTGCTTGCTCTACCTCAGTGTGCTAGGACTGGCTATGCATCCTCTTTTATTGTATCAGGGTGCTACCTGTGTTTGGACTCACTGGAGCCCAAGACAATGAATTAATTCCCTACCTCCTATACAGCAATTTCATCTGTAGCTGATGCATATGGATGAGCAGGAAGAAGATTCACCCTAACAATCCATCTGTAGGGTATGAACTATACACCAAATGACTGAGTGAGGTGTGTGAGGTATTATTCTCAGTCTCTTCTAAGATGGCTGCCATATGCTATGGGCTTTCAATGTAGTCAATATTAGATCTGTATGGATGTTAGCAGCTTAACGTAGCATAAGCACCCTCAGAAAGCTCACAGATAACACTAAGCTGAGGAGAGAGGTAGGTATGCTGGAGGATAGGGATAAGGGCTAGACAAATTGGAGGATTGGGCCAAAAGAAATCTGATGAGGTTCAACAAGGACAAGTGCAGAGTCTTGCACTCGGGACAGAAAAATCCCAAGGATTGCTACAGGCTGGGGACCGACTGGCTAAGCAGCATTTCTGAAGAAAAGGCCCTGAGGATTACTGTGGACGAGAAGCTGAGTATGAGTCATTAGAGCTTTTTTGGCAACAAAGGCACAAATGGCATATTGCGTTGCATTGGTAGGAGCATTCCCAGCAGACCGAGGGAAGAGATTATTTCTTTCTATTCAGCACTGGTGTGACCACATCTGGAGTAATGTGTCCAGTTTTGATCTTCTCCATCCCTCCAGTTCAGACAAATTGGAATCCAGCAGAGGGCAACAAAATGATTAGGGGTCTGGGGCACATGACTTATGAGGGGAGGCTGAAGGAACTTGGCTTATTTAATCTGCCAAAGAGAAGTGAGGAGGGATTTGATAGCAGCCTTCAATTACCTGAAGGGGGGGTCTGAAAGAGGATGAAGCCAGGCTGTTCTCAGTAGTGACAGATGACAGATTAAGGAGTAATGGTCTCAAGTTACAGTGGGGAAGGTCTAGGCTGGACAAAACTATTTCACTAGGAGGGTGGTTAAGCACTGCAATAGGTTGCCTAGGGAGGTGGTGGACTCCCAATCACTAGATTTTTTAAAAAATCCTGGCTTGATAAAGCCCTGGCTTGGATGATTTAGTTGGGATTGGCTGATTTTAGCAGGAGGTTGTACTCTATTGCCTTCTGAGATTTCTTCCTACCCTATGATTCGGTGGTAAGTTTATGAGAGTATCTCCTTTGCTTTTTGTCCATGTAGATCTGCACATGCTCAGTTTTTCATTCAAATGATCCCAAATCTCAAAACTAAATTCAGATCAAAATGCCAACTTGTCCCTGGTTCCATTATAACACTATGAATTGATTAAGATTTTGCTGCAAAGCTATATATTGGGTGTATTTGCTCAAAATTGGTTCTAGATTTTCTCAAAAGGTTTGAGTAAATCTTTTCCTGAGCATCCTCTAGGTTTCAATGAACCCTGTAGCCAAGTAAATTTCAGGGCACTTGTAATTTGTATGCAAATCATACACTTCTATGGAACCACCTCTAAGCAAAAGTAACATGGCATGATACTGAACTGGGGTGAAAGGACACAGCTTCATTCATTTGTGTGGAACTACAACTATTTACACTGGCTTAGGATCTGGCCTATCAAAAAATATATAATCAGAAGCATCCATTCTGCAAAACTCTTCCTGTGATGCTATTCCCATCCAATGACCTATGTCAGGTACATAGCCACTGATACACTGCTGCTCTACATCAGACTGGAGGCATGTCTACACTGCAGAGTTTTTCCGAAAAAGCTTCACTTACGTCCACACTGCAATTGAGTTTTTTCAAGAAAAATCAAAACAGAGGGTTTTTTCCGACACTGGTAAACCTCTTTCTACAAGGAAGAAGCCTTTTTCCAAAAGAGCTCTTTCAGAAAAAGGTGTATGTGGATGGGGAAGAGGGAGTTATTTTGAAAGAAGAGGAAGAGGAGAAAACACAGGTGCCCTGGTGGCCACTCTGTCCATGCCTTATCACAGTTTAAATGCGAGATAGCATCCATTCAACATGGATGCTATCTGTCCCCAAGTCCATTCCAGAACACACCCCACCACCTTACCTTCAGAGGGCCCCTTATCCCGCTTTCCGGGTGCAGGACCTAGTTCTATCCCGGGGGCAGCCCGCGTGTTGGCTGTCCCACCGCTCCCAGGGTGGGATGTGCTTTGGCAGTGTGGATGCTCTTTTTTGGAAGACGATTTTTTTGGGCATCTCTTCTGGAAAAGCTTCTTTCAAAAGAAGCCTGCAGTCTTGACATAGCTTGACTTGCAAATGTCAAATGTTAAAATCAGCACTTTGCGTTCATCTGACTATGGCAAACTTCCGTGGTGTTTGTCAATCTGTCCACTGTGACTCACATTACATTCCTAACTAAAGAACTGTATTTTCCCAGGATGCTTTCATGGGAAATGTAATTTATAAAAAGCATACAAAATCTTAGTACTTTTCTGAGTTTAAAATAGTATGCCTCATGTTATGAGCAAAGCTTGCCTACTGCCTCTTATAAACTACCAGCCAAGAATAATTGCTTTTATCACAGAACACAAAGCGGCCTTAACCTGCTGTTGTATATTTAGTCAATGTACTCACTGTTACAACATTTTGAATCTTAAAATGCTGTTGTTAAGGATTCTTGACTGAAACCTAGAGTACATGCAATACAACCAAACAGCCTAACAAAACCCGCTGCTTATTTGAATGTGGATTTCCATTATAAACCATGAATTGACATGTGAATGGATGCAGACTCAGCAGACGGTGGGTTTCAGTTTAAAGCCTGTCTGATATTTAGCATGCAAATCTGGCCCCCAACAACATTCTTCTGTTCCATGCAACTATATAGTCTTACATAGAGTTGTATTTCACATGGCTTTTATTACCCAGCCAGACTTGAAGATTACTTTTTGTCTCCCAGTTTCCTTTGGGAAATTTCTGTTTCACAAAACTCAAAGTGAAAAATATGTGGCAAATATAAATCTCCTACACTAATTACCCACCCCCGCCTAACTGCACAACTAACAACTTTGTTTGTAAGCCCAAAGGAGACAAGGAAGGGTCATGTATGAAAGTCCTTTAGAGAAGTATAACAACACAGGTATCAACACTGTGATAAAAAATCCTCATTTTCCCCTTCTCCCATCATTCACAGTAAGGAAAGTGGTGGACTCTTGAATGTTTGTATTCAAGAGATACTTAAAAGAAAAGTTTCGTAGTACTAGCAATCAACACAGTTAGGAAATATTAGGATGTTAGGGTTAAGATGACCCACTAGAGGTCCCTTCCATCCTACTATGAAATATGCTTCTCGCTGAAAGGAAAACAGTCTGACCCCAAACCAAATGCAGTAAATGTTAAGCTAACATGTGGGTAAGCACTTTTGAGAAAAAGATGTAGATCATGGTTTCTGTTTGCTCAAAGTGACCAAAAATGAATTATTGTATACAAGAATGTTATATATAAACATCTGTAGCTAACTAACCTTATGTCTCATTATGGAAAAAGTATTTAGATTTAAATACTATGAATCCAGGATTTCCAAAATGTTACTTTTGGGCCACTATTTTTTCCCATTTCATTCTTAGAAAGCTTTGTTCACTTCTTGTTGTTGTGATCTTGTTTCAGCAGCACAGACTCACCTTTCTGCCTCAATTGTTTTAAATTAAATAAATAATTATTGACTCATGATTATACTTGTATGTTCATTTGGGGTCTGATCCAAAGTTTTTCTAAACCACTGGAAAGGTTTCAATTGGCTCTGGATTTAGTCATTAGAGACTCATCCTGCCAAGTGCTGAGTGCCTTCAGCTCCCACTGAGACTTCACTTGGCATTTTGAAGGTGCTCAAGGCCATTTCACAAGTGTGCCCATAGTTGATGCTAAGGGGGCGACATTTGAAACAGACTTGGAGATATGGTGATGCAATGTCTAGGCATACTGATAAAAACATCTCATTTCTCTTTGAGTCATTGCTTGTTCTCTAAAAAGCTGTTTTAACAGTGAAAACATTTGTATAATATGTAATAGTCCCTACAATCTACGTACTTAAGCAAGCTTCCCATTGGTGTCAATGGGACGTTTGCCTGTATAAGGATTGTTGAAGGGACCCTATGATTTAAGTTCTGTTTGGCTATAATAATATGTCTAATTTCATCTAGTACTGATTTAAGCCTTTACTGGAAACCTATGTCTAAAGTTGAGGCGAGTTCCCATCAACTCTAGTACTGCTTTGTGGTGATGTTAAAAGAGGGTGTATATTTGCATGTGGTGTTGGTGTTTTTACTGTACCCACAAACAAAACTACATGAATGCCACTAACTGACAGCTAAATGGTTTCTTCAGTGTGTCTTACTTGCCATACAAAAAGGGAATTTAAAAAAAGCTTGTTGGCAATTTAACATCTTTTTTTTCATCCCATGATTTGGAGGAAACCAGAAGGGGATGTATTTAATCTTGACACAGATAAGGTATTTCTTATCAAATATTAATTTAATTAAAAGTTGGCTCAGTTCCAATTCAAAGTTTCTTAGTCAAGGAAATAAGTATTTTATTGCACTTTTTTTAATTTACTCAAATCCAAACATGCATTCTCTGCACAGCTGAAGAGAATAAAATGGTTACAAAACAAAACAAAACAAAAAATAGTTCAAGGATAGTTTCCAGCAGTGCAAAGCAGCAAATGTTAATAGGAAGAACACACTATAGCTTTATCATTAGTACAATGAACACAATTTGCCCTAGGAGGTTTATAATAGACTTCCATTTGGTGCCAAAGCTCAGACATGTCTAAAGTCATTTTACTTAAGGGATGTGTTTGTTTTCCAACTGATAAGAGGAAATGATATGTCCTGAAATACACACACAGTCAGATATAAGGAAACCTTTCTGACACTTTCCACTAAATCTTTTTGACAAGATTTTCTTTCTCTCCAGTCTGACTCTTGTTTCTTAACAGGGATAGAAATCTCATGTCTTGTCAGCTGTCTTTTAAACCTTTGACTCTCCACCCCTCTGTGCACTCCCCCCCCCCCCCCAAAAAAGGCAGACAGGGATCAGTCAACTGGATGCCTACAGAGTAAGTAACATAGCTACACGTGATAGCTATTGATCTAGGTCATTTCTGAGGTTTCTTTTCTGCACTTAGCTTGCAGCACGGTGAGATCTATGTTGATGGTTACTGGAGGGATAAAGGGGTAATTTCCGGAGCAGAGTATCTCAAATCAGGTTGTCCTCTACAAAATGCTTCTGACTCCATCAGTTAATTGATTCCAACTGAAGAATTTATTGCAAAATGGCACAAGTCCAAAGAAAATATTTCTATATTTAAATATTATTATAGTCCCAGTTATCATGTCTTTTTACTGAGCTATATCAATACCTGCTCTGCATCTGTACCAGTACAGATATATTGTCCTCCCAGTATTACAATGTACATATATTAGGTAAAGTATGGTCCTAAGCTTGCCTCATTGTCTGTCATAGTTGGGGCACGATGTAGATCTACATCCAACCACTCACATGTCTTGCTGTCTAAACTTCTGTTCCTCAGGTTGAAGCCTACTTTCTTACCTAAGTGTCTTATAAGGTCAGAGAGAGTTGAAAAGTTCTGTAAATCCGTTGTAATTCCCTAAAATGGATGAGCATATAAACTGCTCTCTTTCTATTGCTTTACCAAAACGGATTGTAAAGCTACCTGGCACAGGTAACTCTGAAGTGACTGCAACAAAGAACTCCAGGAGTTGGCAAGAAAATGCAATTGCTGGAGCGCTTAGGACACTCAGAGAGCCCTGTTAGAAGCTGTAACATTATGTGAAGATGTACACAGGCCTATCGCCTCCCTCCCCAGTAATCAGTCGGAAACAAACTTACAGTCGGCGGCTAATCCCCTCCACTGGTCCCAGACTGCGAAACTCCAATGCTGGAACAGCTTAGTGAACATTGTATCCTCTCAGTCTTGGAACCTGCAACGAAAGGAAAATGAGTCCAATGATGCATACTCAGGCTTCTTTCGGCAACAGCAGTCGCTGAGCACTAACCCAATCTCCTAAATTGCAAAAGAAAAACAAACTTCCTTGACTCTCGGCAGTTCTCACTTCTTAAGAGATCAGCTGCTCCAAACTTTGTGCGCGCTCCCTCTCGCTCGCTCCCTCGCTCCAAAAATAATCAGAGTCAATTCCTCTCTTAAATACTAATAAAAATGAACTGTTTTGTATAGAAGCCGGGCTCAGGAGAGTGTTTACATGTCTCCCCTAGCAATGTTGAATTAATCTGGCAAACTACTCTCTCAGGGGTTTGTGTTCCCGGGCAAACCCTCTTTTCATAGGGGTGGGGAGGGAGTTCAACTTTTTTCCTCCCAACCAAGAGTATTTTCTTCTCCGTGCAGATGGGGAGAGCGAGTGAGAGACTTCTAGCCCCATCTAGCTCTCTACCTCGTTTAAAGCCAGGTTCAGGTCGGGCTGCTTCCGGAAAGTTTAGGTCCACACTGCGGAGGAATCTGAGCTCCGGCAACGTGTGCTGTCTGCCTGGGACGCTGGGGCGCTCTAAGAGGAGCGGCGGCCACGGGGGAGGCTGAGCGGCTGGAGCGGGCGCTTGGCTGTGCAGGTTGGAGCGCAGCGAGCTGGGGCTTGGAATGTTCACACGCTCTGGAGGCAGCCGCTGGGAAACCTGCTGGAGGAGCCCGTGACTGCAGTGAGAGGGCGCCCTAGGAACATGGGCAGAGGGCGCCCACAGCCCCCCCCCCCCTTCACCACTGCCAAACCAGGGATTTCAAACCCTCCCCGGGAGAGGGCTCACAGGGGGAGAACACCCAGCCATAAAGTGCACAACGTGCCAGCCCCTGGAGACTCGCTCCTTCAGTTCACACCTCCTGAAGGGGGGTGGGGGATACCTCCGTTTTCCACCAGTGGACCAGCAACGTGCCCCCCTCCCCCGGGGCAGCACATCGGACAGGAGGTGTATCCCCCAGAGGGGCACTTTCAGATCAAAGCCAGGCGCCTAGCGGAAGGTTGACGGTGCCTTGACGTTCACATCACCTACCGTCCTTTACCGCCGTCCCTGGAGGCGTGGCCCCCAAGGAGTGGAGCCAAGGGGGTCGCACACTGTGTGGACTCAGAAGCGGCTGGCCAGAAAAAAAATGTCGGGGTGTTTTCTCCTCTCCTTTGTCAGAGCATGACTCTCCAGCTCAACTTAGGCGTCGGACAAATCTGTGTCACTGTGCCTCGAAGGGGGAGGCTGAGAGCACCGCGGTGCGACCTTCTTTTGTGAGCAGCAGCCTTGGTTTGGAGCAGTGTTTGCTGCTTGCCTTGTCCTCAGCACAGCTGTGAACAGCTGGCGCCTGTCCAGAACCCCGCGGACAAACTCCCTAGCCCATTGGCAGCTGAAGGGTTTGTACCCGGGGTGGCCTAACTGGTATTTCTCGCAGCGAGGGAGTTCCAGACTCGGGTTAAAAACAAGTCACCTGGGAGAACCGTCTCAAACTCTCCCACTTCAATCAGACCTCACTCCCGCTGAGTGAACGACAGAATTTTCCATCACAAGGAAACACTTATGTAAAACCAAAGGTAACACAATCTATCCCTTTATGCAGCCAAGTTGCGCAAGAAACTGCCCCGGGCTATTATGAAGTAATCGATACTACAGTGACTATATATAGACAAATCTGTTTTTTAATGTAAATAAAATAATGTGTCTGGATACAGTTTTCTTATGAGGCTCTTTATATAGCGTGCAAGGATTATCTCTCGCTATCTTGCTCCGCCTTCTAACATAATATGGGTCCGTTATGCTTTAGAAATAAACATTTGGGGTATATGATCCGGATTTAAGTAGCATCCTTATAGCACATTGTTCTCGGTGCCTCAAACTATTGCAGCATGCAACTTTGTATGCAGCATCCAACAGCTACACACTGACACACCCCAAGAGATTTTGCAGCACTTCTCAGGGGATTGCTTTTCAGTGCTCCTTGAAACTTAACTTCTTCGTAGTTTGGTTTATCTTTTTACCCAAGCCCCCTCGTTTAAGGATTTCTGCATAGGAGGGGTGAGTTAAACCCGCTTCTATGGCACAAGAGATTCTACCGTTCCCACCATTGGGAGTCGATCCACAAAAGTGTCATTTGTTCAGCTCACTGATTTATTATACATTCTTTCCAAGCTGCCTCACGAGCCTTAACGTAATATTTAGATATTTTTAAAATACCTTTCTATAGCAAGTTAAATTACTCAGAGTATTTTGTACCTGCAGGTTGTTTTACATAAAAACGATATTTGCTGCCATAATAAAAGAGCTAAACTACTTAGCCAACTTTCATACCACATGAGCAAATAAAACCGAAAATGAAAAGGGCTGAAATTGGAATCATGCTGGAAATATTAAATGGCTTATGCTGTAAATAAAGTCACTATACACTTGATAGGCTATATATTAAACAACATAATTAATAGGTTACTTGATTTACAATGCCCTTTCCATTAATTAAACAATCATTGTAAGCCCCCGCTCCCGAAATCCTCTCCAGCACACTCTGGTGTGTTAATGGCAAAACATCTATCAAATATTTTTAGAATTTCCTCTCCCCCACACATTTTAAAAAAATCCTCATACAGACTCAGGAAAAATAAATAGCCTTTACAAACTTGGAATACTGAAGTTTCCTCACAATTTATTACTTCACCTTTTCCTTGAGTAACAGTCTTCTGTGCCTCTCAGAGATCACCTTGGCCAAAAGAGGTTGATCTTCTTAGCAATAGCTTCCACAGCTAGTTTCTAACTTTTTAAAAAGTGAAATAAATCACAATACAAATGATTTAAGAATCCAGCCCTAAGAGCTTTTATTCTGCACCTAACCTATTAAAGCAGAATGCAGGGCTTTAAAAGCAGGTGCTTCCTTCCCTTGTTGCTCTGTTCCTTGATAGTAACAAGGAGCTTCTCCTCTTAATATATAGAGTGAGTCTGAGACCCTTTCCCGAGAAGACTAACTTGTGACATCATAGAAAACATGACTTAAAACCTAGGACTCCCCCTAAGGTTTTGTTAATACTGGAAGAAGGGAGATGTGCCAAGAAGGGCAAGTCATATGCAGGCACGCGCTAGATGCACCTTTTAGCACAAAGCTGCCCTGGGAGTCGATGGCATTTGCTCTACAAAAAGCAACCTGCCATAGTTCTGAGTTATGTGCCACCTACACGAATGCCTAGTGCGTGAGCAAATTCTAACCTCCCCCAGTATCGTCCCATCCAAAGTCTCAGCCCTGTCTTGCAGCAGCGCTGAGAGGAGATTTTTGTGAGGGTGTATGCCTGGCTTCTGCCTCCTTCTTCTCGTAAACCTATGCTTGAGCGTCTGTTCCTGCCTTCTGTGAGAAGCGTTCTATTAAAATAGCTATGGTACGGAATGATTTTAGCTCTCAGAAATGTTCTTTATCTCACTGACGTTTCGTGTTGAAATTCATCCTTCAGAGGATTGGCTTCCCACTCTTGAGTGGGTGCACTCTTACAGCTTTCCTAGTTGCCTTAGTGAGGGCATCAGTGGACCCAGGTTTATTCCGAACAATAACCACTAAGATCTAATGATCTTGCTAGCACAGGAGGAGGCAGGAATGAAAGAGGCTGTTGTAAGCATCCCACCAAAGACCAAGTGAAATGACCAAGGGATATCATCTAAGGAACTTTTGCCCTGAGCTCCACAAGGAAATACTAGCATAAGGGGGAGCACACGTTTGTATTTCATTTGTTTGAGACTAAAGGGAAAGACATGCTGCAGGTCTTAGCAGCAATTCAGGGTGTGGTTTTTTTCTTTTCAGTCAATGAGGGTAGATAGGATGGTTACTTTAGGTAAAGTCTCTAGCTAACTTAGGAAAGCCCCAGAAGTCGTCAAAGCCTTTTTTTGGTTTTTTGTTTGTTTACAAATCTTATCGCTTTTTTTAAAAAAATTTCCACTTCCCATGTTAAAGACAAACGTTTGGAAAGATACTCTTGAATCATTCTGTTTGCCTATGTCTCGATTTTTCACGCACGTAGACATTACTCAGCTTTCACGAGTTTCCGCCTACCATAGCTCAGGTACGAACTTCAAATCGGGCTCAAAGAACCTATGAAAACAGGAAGGACAGGTTCAGTTCATTTTACTTGAGTTATAATTATACCCCGGAAGAAAGAAAAGAAGAGGAAAAAGCACTGACACTGGTCTTTAAAAACAGGGTAACTTAGGAGGAGCACTACAAACTTAACAACCTTCGTCTTGTGGGTTTGAAGTTCAGCTTTCCCCCATTTCCTCTCATTTTATTCGCGACAAAGGCAGTTTTGTCAATTTCCCCGGCCCGAATCTATAGCCCCAATTGCACTCTTGGCTTCAGCTTGGGCGAGTTCAACCTTTTTATTCTTTCCCGGGTGGAAAAATGTGTGAAATCAGCAAAATCTACTCATGACGACTCTTTGGCAGGCTTTTTATTTATTTATTTTGGGGTGGAGTAGGGGGGCGGGGAGAATCAAGCGTTAGATCAAGGATTTGCTGGATGCATTCTCAAGACAGAAATTCTCCAAGATTGACGGCAACACACACGTGTTACGAAGTTTATGGATATAGTTTTAGGGAATCAAAGCGTACGGTCCTGGAGTGATTTTCAAATCAGTGTGGTGAAAGAATGGTATTTAGCGCTGCTCTGACACGCACCCACCAGCAAACATGATTGATTGCAGATTGTAAGCCGTGTTTCCTTATACATAGTCGCTCTTACATGGACTACATTCCTGGTGTTATTTGCGAGGCAGAAAGTCTAGTAGTGTGCTTTAAAAAAAACCCTGGCAGTTCCTCACAGGGATCCGCTCCTCCCACTCGCAGTGCTAATAGGGTCTCAGATTAGAGACACACCTTAGTCAGTGTCTAATTTCATGTATGCCTCTAATGAGGTAAAGAGATCACTTAAGGGAAGGGGGGACAAAACCAAACCCTCCTCCCTGTCAGCAAGACAAGGATGTTTTCTTACACGCTGATGGTGCACACCAACCCGTATTATTAAACAATGAACGGGACTGCCTCTCTCACTTTAAAATCAGTAGAAGCTCCCACGGTCCAGCTATTGAAATAGTACACGGGTTTAGACAATGTGTATTTCATTTAGCGCATGCAAGCAAAAAAAAGAGTTGAGTGGAAATGAATTATGCTTTGCCAAATCTGCTGTCTGGTTTTTAGAATGTAGCAGACACTGAAACGACTAATTTTTAAGTTTGAGGGCAAGGAGTCAGTTGTTATTAATTCATAAAGCCTGTTCTTACTATATATAGTTCCATGGTGAATGTAGTTGGCATTCTGTGTTGGTGTATGTAGCTGGCATTCTGTTTTCCTGTGGTACATGGAAAAACTCCAGAGGATAAAACACAAATCAGATTGTGGCTCCGGTGGAGTTTGAGAATGCGTTGGACTGGTTGGTTAAACCCAGTGAGCTGTCCATGGTGGTTAAGGACTTCTTGATGTAAGTTTTCCTCTTGTCAGGACAAGTCACAGACCACCTCCCCCTAGGTGCATTTTCTGCCAATAGCATCATAATGGTGCCTCCCCACTGGGTTTGGCTACAAAAGCCATTTTGACTAAAGGAAAAGTGTATATGCAGGCCTTTTTAAAGGTCTGTCCATACCCTGTATTGCTAGCTCTGTAATGTCATCCTTTGTAGCAGAGTGATGGACCTATAATGCATGGTATAAAAAATAATTTCAGTTTAGGTTCCTGTTCTAGCCAGACTTACTTACACACACACACACACACACACACACACACCCATCATGATAATTCAAGTTCTAGCTATGGTGTCTTTAGGTTATCTAAACATTTCCACAAGCTCAGCCTGCTCTATTTCGCACACTTTTAGCTTCAGCTGTAATTACCTAGGCCTAGTCATTACCTGATCTTTAAATATTCTCTTAACATAGGCATTTATTTGTGTCACTGGTTTTGTTTGAGTTTTAATTTAACATAATTTAGACCCCAGAAATGAACGTGGCTCTTCCATTTAATTTATAAAACACTGATAGTAAGCAGGGCTGGCTGGAAAACAAGAATTCTGTTCTGTAAAAAACTGTGAGCTGTCTCATTTTTTTTCATTCCACTTTGGAACGAAAACTAGCCTTTTGAACATTTTAAAGAGAACAAGCACAACCTACCCATGGATAGCCCAGTTAGGTGGAAGACCTAGGTTCAAGTCCTTGTTCTACATGATTCAGAGTAGTGAGTGGACACTGAGTCCAACGATCTCTCTCTCTCACACACACACACACACACACACACACACACACACACACACACACACACACGTAAAAAAGTCCCATCCACTTCTAATAGAGAGCAGCTTTCCATTGTGGATGCTGGACCCAAGCTATAGCCATCCTGCAAAATTATGAAGTGTGGACCCAAGCCCTATTGGGACTCAGACTTGGACTCCTTGCTGGGTATTGTGGGGCTTTGGTTGAGAGGGATTGCTAGCCCAAGTCAGATAAATGTATGTGTTGACAAAAGAGGAATTGGGCTCAGGAGCAAGCCTGACTCTGAGCCTAGGATTACAAGAAAGTATAGACATAACCTCATGAGAACTAATCAGAACCAAAAAGAATGGAATAGCTAATTTACCTGTTTTACACTGGCCATCTCTAATGTAATGTAGTACAGTACATAGAATTCCCATCGGTTCACTGCATAGTCTACTTGAGCAACAGAAGTAGTGCACATGCAAGCAGTTATGGCGGATATGCCTGAGGGAATCATGATTAATCTGTGAAGGACAGGACTCCATGATTGCTAGCAGACCAAAGGCAGTCAAATCATCACAAGCAACACTCTAAAGAGGGCCCATTCCAGATCTTAGCCATTGCTGTCTTTTTCAAAATGAGACCATCATCAACACTGTAGATGGGAAATATTGAAGTTCAAACTCCAGGCATTCTGTGTGTCATAGAAAATGGGATCTCGTAGAAATCACATACATACCAATATCAGACTTGGTTACAACTCTGTGCTTTCTGTTTTGTCGTTCCTGAAAGCCTGCACTCAGTCATAAATATGGAAAACTGTGTAAAAGACAAAGTGGCAGTACAGAACACTCTCCCAAGTCATTTTCAATAAGGTGTCCCATTCTGTTTTCACCAGACACCACTACACATACTACATAAAGCCATAAGATTAGCAGGAATAACAAAAACCTGTTATATCACAGAACCAGGGTTTGTTAGGTTAGTCCTGACAATTTAAACATCCTGCAGATAATTTTAAGTGCACATCATTCCACATCTGTCTCTTAGAGAAAAGCCATAAATTCCGCTAAAGAAACCAGCCACGATATAAAACTAGCACAAGGAGGCTGGTGCAAGGGAGGGGGAGAGCAAATTTCATTTTAACATCTACAGATGTGAGGAACTGCAGTAAACCAGGCTACAAAAGGCAGCTGTGTACCATGTAATCTGTTGTACAAAATGCAGAACAGTATTTTTAATCAAGGGTTTCATTTGCTTGTTTATGAAGTACTTTGTTTGGATGTTCCCACAAGCATTCTGAAAATAATTGTGATAATTCCACAGTCTTCAAGAAACTTTGACTTGTTAAGAAGAAGTATGAGACAGGTCCACACCTGTGGGGCAGCCAATTTCCACAAATCCATTTAAGCCCCACTCAAACAGTGTCAAACTTATCTTAGTTGCAGATGTTCAACTTCAGGTCCAGGCTTTTCTTTATGGCTATTTACTTATGTTGCAAAATTAATCTCTTAAAAGAATAGGAAATAAAGCAAAAGGCACCCTGTGTATTAGACTCTACCGAACAGTGTCACTGTGAAATTAATGTGCCTGTTTTGGTAGACATTCTCTGGAAAAGCTCTAAATGTTAAAATGTGACATATGTTTAATCAGAAAACAATCTTAGCTCCATCTGCAGCTCAGAGCATTTTTGTACATTTTAAATATTATTTCATACTAGAGTAGTATCTCCAGGCTGCCAGGAAGTCTCATGGCCTCCCTGAAGTAGGTGCTATTCCACCACTTAATAAAAGTTCTTGCCTCCAAAAACGTACACCCAAAGTTAATCACAAGGTACAGTGGATGGATGTCACAGCACATGCCCCCTCCACTGACAGCGAGCCTAACAGGCATCCCTGCACTCAGGCAGTGCCAATGGAGTGCACCTGCGGAATAAGCTCTGCCTGGAGGAGAGTTGGCCACAGGACGGGGAGGAGGTGGTCCTGCTCCACTCCCTTGTTTAGGGTATTCAGACAATGCAGCCGAGGGGGCTGCTAGAATAGGGTGGATTCTGAATCACATGCAGACCATAGCACCACTGACTTGCAGAAGGTAAGGATGAGAAGTTGTTACTTGATTCAGTGGAGGGGGGGAGATAATGAGACTTGAGGATGTATGTGACATGAATGAAGAAACCGAGAAGGAAGATGGTTTTGGCAGGCGCTGTTTGAATGGACTTGGAGGAGACAAGGTTGCTGCAGCTGAGGCCAGGGAAGAAGTGTTGATAGTAGGAATGAAAAGTGCCACATTCAAGACCAAGAGAATTGGCTGGCTCTCTGGAATGTTCTGTTAAGAAAAGCAATAAGATCTGAATATAGCCTAAGACGGGAGAAGGGTGGCTATTTCGAAATAGCGCTATTTTGAAATAACAGATGCTGTTAAGATGCAGTTATTTCGAGAGAAAACCCTTCTCTCAAAATAACTGGCAAACCTCACTGTATGAGGAATAAGGGTTATTTCAAGAGAAGGGTTTTCTCTCGAAATAACTGCATCTTAACAGCATCTGTTAATTCGAAATAGTGCTATTTTGAAATAGTACCATAATGTGAATATGCAAATGAAGCACGGGATATTTAAATCCCAGCTTCATTTGCAATTTTGAATGTCTTCATTTGCATTCCTCTCTCAAAAGAGGGTGCAAATGTAGACATACCACACTTTTCACATTGGTTTGAACCAATGTATATTTTCTGTGCCTTTTTGCCCAATCAAATTTTCATATAGCCCCTTGTAGGCTTTCCTAGCTATGCAATAATTCTGCTTCTGATATCCCATTTTGGTGCTAGACACACACATGCTTTGCTGTGACTTCCTTTGGCACTTTTTATCTTTTTGTCCCATTTTACTTGACCTCCAAATCTCCTTTTATGCTTAGTTTAGAGCTCTTCTAGTTTATTACTCTAGTTCTCTTGCAATTTAAATGGAAATGATCCAATCTGCAAGGTACACAGAAGGAAAACCCTTTTTCTGTGAATCTGAATCCATCCATTCAGGTGCCCGGTTATCTCCATAGTCCTCCTGCTACTTGCTTCATCTGTCTCCTGGACTGTAGGTTAACACTAAATGCAGGAATTGTGAAATATGCTCACCAATGTCTGCAGTTATTGAGGATGCAGAAAATTCAGATTGTGTTTAATTCAGTTCAAAGGAGAGACATTGTCATTGTAAAGAATCTCGAATGGACAAGGCTTTCTCTTCCAAACTCTGTGAAGCCAATTGGGGGAAGGGCATAGCTCTGAACCAGCAGGCTACATGCCATCCAGGCGTCAGGGCCGGACGGAGGCATGGGTGAGCCGGGCAGCTGCCCAGGGCACCAACTGATGGGGGGCCACCTGATGGCAACTGTAAGGGGTGCGCGGCGACCCTTACAGCTGCCATCAGGTGCCACACGCTCGGCTCCCGCAGCGCTGGCCCGCCTGCATCCCCACAGTGCTGGCCAGCCACGCCCTTCCCCCCACGGCTGGGGGGCCCTGCACAGCCCGGTGCACACGCTAACAGTGAGAACCATGCCAGACTGGGCAGTGGGCCTGGGCTGTGCGCCAGCAGCTGTAGTCGGGTCGTGCATGCGCCGTGCACCCTGGGGTGCAGGCCTGCATCCTCTAGGAGGGCGAGCCCACTCCTCACGAGCAGGCCCGTGCATGCACCGTGCACTTTGGGGACGGCACCACGCACCCATCCCCGGGGCGCCAGAATACCTCGGGCTGGCCCTGCCAGGTGTGAGCTATAAGACCGGTTCAACCTGTCCCCCCCCCCCCCCTTGTTCTAATGACAGAACTAGAACAGACTATGGAATCTCTTTTATTATTTTAAATTTACTCCAGTGGATGCTGGAGTCTTTGGTGGCTGGACTGTGCTCTGGGCCAAGATCTGGAATCACTGAGAGCTGAAATCACTAGGTTTGGTCCAGAGCCAAATCCACCACAAGCCAATGGAAGATTTGATAGCAGCCAGCAGAGAGGTGTAATGAGCGGCCAGAAGAGTGGCAGCAGTGAGGTGAATGACCAGCAGGGCAGAGAGGAGTGAGGAGGTGGATGGTGAGTGACCAGCCGAGTGAGTAAGCTGCCTCCTACCTCCTCTTGCCCCTGCATTCTGTGGATGCAGCTCTGAACTTGGTCTGCCCTGACCAAGGGCAACAAGTGTGAGTGGGGTGCAGAGAAGGGTTGGGCATGTGAAGGGGACATTTACGTTGCTGGGCTTGAGAACCTAAGAGGAAAAGGACATTGCTCAGCCTATAGGGGTGGGACAGTTACTTGTGGGTTTGGTTATGAGCCCTGATTGTGCTGTTTTCTCAAATCAATGCCACATTACTTCGCTCCCCTTTTATTAAAGGTTTCTTTTCCACATTCAGACTCTGTGCTTGCAAAAGGGGAAGTGTTGCTTCCCGGAGGAGCCCCAGGGTGTGTGTGAATTTCCCAGGTTATTGGGTGGGAGCTCGAGCCAGTTCTGTGATGGATAGTTGGAGAGGAACTCCTAAATATTGAACCCAACCCTGGCTGCTGCTGGCGCTACCTGGCAGAAGGGTTACATGTAACTAAAAAGAAAGCGGCCTACTGAGAGAGCTTTTTTTGTGAATGAAACGTGTGGTATATTTCTTGTTTGCAGCAATGCTGCTCTGTATAGCAGACTAAGTCAGTCTACTTTTTGTACTCAAACATCAGCAGAGTTCTTTGCCATGACGAGCCTGAGGAAGAGGATGGGAGGAGGTGGCAACAGAAATCCCATTTTTGGAAAGCTATTTATGGTTAAGGAGAGGTCCATTTTCCAAGATTTCTAAGTGACTGAGAAGGCAGCTGGTTTGCTAAGTAGTGCAAAGTGTTCAGAGATCTATCGCTTCAGCTGCTGACATAATTAATGATTTCATTAAGATCATGAAAGGAGGCACTTGTATTCCTTCTGGCATTGGTAAGCCAAGTTCATGTCCTAACTCTAGTAACCAAGTTGCTTTTGCCGATCTAGACTGTTGGTTCTCTTATTGCAAAACAAAAATTTGAAAGCCAAATATTTTACTGGGCTATGATACTTCCCAACATGTCAGGACTGTGACATGTTTTAATATAAGCAGCTACTATGGATTACAAACTGGCAGGAAAGTTACTAAAGCTTTCAGACAACAATGCAAATGGGAAGAATTTGAACGGACTTCATATTTATCACTCCTGGTTTACATCTAAGATTTGACTAGTCTGCCTATATTCCAAGGGTAATGTTTGTCCTTGAATATTTATAGAAATTCAAAGAACACAGCACTAAGATTTATATTAAAAATAAATGGTGAAGCTGAGGCAGTGTCCTTGGATTTAAAACTTCACTTACTTTTCATTTTTGTCGAACTGGGCTAAAATCCTGATGTTTACATGGGTTTGGTAGTTTCATCCTGATACTTAGTGAAAAAACACACTAGCTCTATAGGAGGGGTGGGGAACCTAAGGCCCAGGGACTGAATGCAGCCTACTGCTTGCCTGGATTCAGCCCCTGATGCTTGGGGCTACACCCATGCTGGTGAGGGGAGGGGTTGTTTTGTTTCTCACTTGTGTGCAGCCCTGACTGATTTTTTTTGTGGGTCAGTGGCCCCCGACCCAAAAAAACGGTTCCTCACCCCTGCACTGTAGACTGCATGCCCTGTAGAAAGCCAACAGAATGGAAGAGAAAGAGTGCTGCAAGTCAAGATTGTGGTATCTGAGGTCTCTGGTACAGCAAAACCCCTAAGTATGTGCTTAATTTTGAGCATGTGTAGCCTAACTGACGTAAGTGGGGCAGTTCAGATGCTTAAAGTTAAGCAG